TTATAAAAAAGGAAATCATAATTACATCCTCAAATGAAATCAGTCTCTACTTAAAATTGTTATTTCTACTTTATTTTTCTATCTAAATGCATTTAAATATTTTTCATTTTGGTTTATTGAAGACATTGAAAAAACACAACATGAAAGCATTTATAGTGATAGAAATGTAACCTGGTTGCATTTTCTGTAGACAAAAATAGCTTTATATAAAGGGTTTCTTTCACATCATCAACAACACGCTATGCTCGGCTCTCAGAAGTGTTTTAATACCGTTTGTTTGACAAGCGTATTTTTTCTTCACCCTGCCATTTGTGACAGCCGCAATTCCTGGGTATCTGACAGACTTTCTCCGTCATTTGTTTCTGCTGCGAAGATGTTGGTAAACTGTGATTTACTATCGGCAGTCATAAATTCATTTCCGTCGGCGGTAATAAAACACTCACCCAACCCCTGACACAATGATGGACTTCCTCGTCCCCATTAGAGCCATGACCCGGTTTTTATTGTGAGGCCCCGCGTTTGAGGCCGTGTTGCAATTCACCGGTCCGACGAACGTTATTAGGAAACGATTTCGTGGATCTGGGGCTCAGACTGTACCAGGTACAGTCATGCTGCTCTGCAAGGGAGCTTGTCTTCTCTTGAAGACCCTGGGGCAGGGAAGTACAGCAGTAATGTTACATGATGTCTCGCCCTCACCCTAAATGATGTCTCATGTAACATTACTTGCTACGGGCATACGGGACCATACAGGTGACGTACCGAAAACTTACTATACATGATACAAATGTGTCAAGTTGCTATAAGTGTATATTATGGTTTGTAAGATGTTTTTTTCCTGTTTATATAGCAGTCTGATTTACCTTAACACTAATAATTTATGCCAATCAAAAACCTGGGCGATAATAGGCAGGATATTTCCAACTTGGGTATAATAACAGTGCTTAATTTCTTTAAAGGTATTGAAGTGCTACCAGATGCAATATAACACAAATCCCAAAACACCTAAAGCCACTCCGGCCTACAGCTCTGTGACAGCAAATGTGGTGGGTTTCAAATGTACCAAAGAGGGCGAGGGATGAAAGCAAGGAGCTGATGCCGCCGCTCCGGTGAATACAGATGAGAGAGAGCGAGGCAGAATTCTGATCAGGCTGGGTTTTCGTCTTCCTTCCCCCCTTCAGAGCGAGAAGTCTTCAGAGGCCTTTGGCTTTCTAAACCGAGAGGGACCTCACCTGTTCAATCTTTTAAACTCAAGGGGTCTTTTCTTTTTCTTTTTCTTTTTTTTTAAGACCATACTATTTAACAGAGGTTCCTACTCGGTCTTAAAAGGCCTAGATGATTAGGGAAAAGGTATTTTATTTTTGTTTTTTCTAAAGGACAGACATCTAATCATGAACAATGCTGCAGTTTGACTTTTATTGTCCGATCAATCACATTTATTTGTACAGCACATTTCAGCAACAAGGCAGTTAGCTCAAAGTGCTTTACATCATAAAAAACACAGGAAAAAGCCACATAGAGTCAAGTTAACAACTGAGAAACCAGAGACGAACGTTGGATGCTATCTGGCTCATGAATGCACATCAAATTTGTCCTATTTATTATGGTTTAAGAGCAACTCCTTGAGTGTCGCGGCTGTTTTGGAGTTAAAGCTGCCGGTTTCTTTCCATTCAAACTAGAATAAAAGTTGATATGAAGAATCCTTACCCTACGTAGCAATCGTCCGAGTAGCTTAGCCTACTCGGAAGACAAATGTTGAAATTATCGCGATTGTGACAAACAGCATTTTTTTGTAAGGCGACATCATTTTAAAGCTGCAGTTGCCTAGCTAAGAGCACATCTGTGAAGCATCTTCCATCGGTATGCGTTTATTCTATATCTGTGTATCAAAAATCCAAAAGATAAACAAAAGTAATCAATAACGTATTAAAACTAATAGCTTCTCCGTTTAGAAAATACAATGCACATCTTACTCGAGCTTCTCCAGCCATGAGTGCTTTAGTCTGAACTAAACTGTCTTTTCAAGTAGTTTTTAATGAGGTTTCGGGTCTTCGGTAGGAGAAATAAAAAAATCCTGTTTTATGTTTAAATACCTTGAGAGGCTGAAATCTGTTGGGCTTCTTCATTTTATCAGCGCTGTCTTGCAGCCAGATTATTTTAAGCACTCCAACAGGGTGTTAGCACATCTTAAAGGCCTGAGGCATATAAAGAAATCAGTCAATAAGCTACTTACCAGCTACTCTCTTTGCTTAGTTAAGAAAAATAGAACTAAGTTTGGGGATTGAAAAGCTTTTCTTGTTGGGTTCAGTTTTAATGTATTCAGAGGAGAAAAAGTGAAGCAAAGTGTGACATGTGAATTCTGGCTTCGATTGCAGTTTTTGAGATTAATTAGTCGAAGAAGACATGTAGGTTTTTTTTGTTGTTTTTTTTTTTTCACCCTCGAGCAGAATACGGATTCTTGCTGTTGGTGTCACCGGGTCGTCTCAGCGGCTCATTAAAAGCGAGCGCGGAGGGGAAGAATTAATAGGAGCTCAACACCTTTTAGTTTAGAAAGGTAAACTAATGCGAAAAGCCTAAATTTATCTGCTTAAAGATTTGCTTGACTTTCCCGGCAGTTTGGTGAGAGGTGCGTGGAAACGTCGAGTTCCTTTGACGAGCAGAAAAGAGGAGTTTAAATATTTTAACCTGTGTTAGAGGTGGTGGGTGGGGGGCCAGGGGGGCCTCATCCTTCCAGAAAGCCGCGAACTGTGTGGAGTCAGATGAGTGCAGACGCCGAAGCCCCACCGGGATTTGTCTTTTCGTGTGATTATCAACACCGTGATTGGTTGTAAACCCTGTTGTCACGGCAATGATTTCAGCCTTGATGATGAAAGCTTCTGGGACACCGATCCACAGCATGCCTGCACACACGCACGCATTTTCACTCTGTCTTACCGCTAACCAGCCTCATTCCCCTTTGAGGGAGAGGCATTAGTTGGCTAGATTGAACTCTGGTTTCGGTGTGTGCGTGCGTGAGAGAGAGGCACGATGCAAGTTGTTGTTGTTGTCTATCTCCTAACTTACCAAGTAATGTACAGAGCTGAAATCTCAGGAAATTGTCAAGTGCCACTGAATTTTCCCTTACACTTTTCTGCTTTGGTTTGTTTTTCCCTTCATTTTTTCTATTTTTAGTTTAGTAGCTCAGCTGTAGACTTTGCTGAGTAAAAATCTATGTGACAGTCTTAACACAGAGTTGCATCTAATCGAGTCTTCTCTTTAAAAGAGTAGCTTTCGATTGTATTAAAAGGCGTAAATGCATCATGGAAGAGCTCCAGTCTCCATACAGGTTACAGATATCGAGGCTGCAAGGTTTTTAATTGTTGCCAATCCAAAAACACCGAGATTTTCTGAGCGTCAAAGTCTTTTTAATGAGTCTTGCTCAAGCTGAATGGTGCGTAAAATAATTCAGCGCTGCCCTCACCACAGCTGTTTCTAACACCGTCTGTGTTTCACTTTCCCTTTGGTTGCAAGAACAACGACCTTATCCATGGGCGGAAATGCTGTTGAAAATTTTAAGGCCGTTTTCTCGCCTGACAGTCCGGCAGACTCTGCTCGATTAGGAACCAAAATTGCGACATTTGGTCCATTTTCGGCCGGTGCCGACCTCTACTCCGCTGTTCCCTCTCTCACCTGTAGTGGCGCTGCGCCAAGAGCTACTGAAGGAAGCAACACAAAAGCCTTAGAAGAAGCAGGACAACAAAGCAGGAATTTGATTAAAACCCGGTTTTAGAAGGTGGCATGTTTTACCATATTTTAAATCACAAATAGGGGGTAAAAACCATTTAACCGTAGCTAAGCTGTAAATATTTTACCCTGACAGATTTTGAGTTAAAATGACTTTCATACATCCAATCTGATCTATTCTTTTCATACTGTAAGACATTCGTATTTGTGAAGGTTTGTCAAAGTCAGCAATCATCTTCCTCAAAAGGTAGTAATTTGGCAGGGAGTCGAATGTTGAAATGTACTCAACTTGAATCTTGTTGGTTTTTGTTGTTGTTCTAGTAAACAGCTGGAATAAAAAGATTTTTTCCTCAGTTCACCACGAAACTGAAATGCAATTTAATTTGACCAAATCCAGTAGTCCAGAGGTCAGAGTCGACCTGCACGGTAAACAAGCCTTAGAATAAATGAAACATCACAGTATCTGACTTTTGCTCAAACTGCTCAAAATAGGCCCAGGAAAAGTGATGCAGCTGCACAGACTTTCCTTCTTTTATTCCTTTTCTCTCTCTCTCTCTCTCTTTTTTTTTCTTTTTGGATGGAAAGAGTCATCAGAGCATCTTTTTTGCTTGCTTGACCGAGCAGGAGGAATAACTAGGTCAGCTTTTTCCAGCTGTTTGTCCAAGACAAACACCAGAACTGTCAGGAGTTTAAAAGTCACGTGTCGTCTGTGGTCACTTCTTGGCGAACGACTGGAAGAATGAAAGTAGCTGATCTGGAGCTGTTGGGGTGTCGATCAGGTTTGGGTTGGACAAGATTATGATGGCAACCTTAAATAAAAATACTGCAGTCAAAAAAACTTTAAAATAAACTTCTTTTTGTTGACACTTTAATTATAAGTGTGTTTTATGTAAGGAAGAAAAAAGTGAAGTAGCATTTCTGAAGCTACAAAAATGAACTGTAATGGATCAAAAAGCAAGAAGTCAAGTTAGCTCCGTTAGCATTGAGTTAATGCTAATTTGACTTTTTATTTGTGTTGCCACATGGTGTCTCTACAGTTTTTCATCCTAAGTTAGGCAGCACTTTCATCTTCAAAGCTCCTAAATAGTGAATTTTTGTAAACGAATCCCTACTTTAATTTTAAGTCTGAGAAGTGTTATTAATTTTCTTCCTAATTTAAACTCGATCAGCTGCTGATTTGTCTTTGCCAGCCAGCCTCTTTGTTTCAGTATTTCCTTCACCATTTCAGTAAACAGACAAATAAAAAATCCTTTCTGTTTCCGCTGCGTCCGTCTCACCAGGGCCTGATGATCCTGCTGCAGAACCTCCCCACGATGCACTGGGGCAACGAGGAAGTGAGCGTGCTGCTGGCCGAAGCCTACAGGTTGAAGTTCGCCTTCGCTGACGCGCCCAACCACTACAAGAGATGATGAGAGCGTCTCTACCTCCTCGTCCTCTTCCTCATCCTTCGTCGCCTGCTGGACTCACAGGCTCCTCCCATTTTCCTAACCACGCCCCCCAATTTAAAAAAAATATTTTTTAAAATTATTATTCTTTTCTTTTGCCCATATTTCCAGTGGGCTTTGTCGCTACTAAGAGATTCGAATCAAACAGTGACTTGAGGATGGGTGGTGTAGCATTTTGATTATCAGGAGCCTTTTCTTTTTAAAATATCTCTACGACTGAAACGTGCGTTCATTCTCAGTCTGATGCAGAAACGGATCATTAATACTGATGATTGCAAGTTGTTGGGGTTTTTTTCTTCTTCTTCTTCTTTTTGTCGTTGTTAAAGAACAACCACACACAGCATGATGCAGAATCATGGACAGTTCCCTCCCCACACCGCCTGGGGTTCAAATCTGCGTCATTTTACACTACCATAGCAATAGTTAGTTTATTTTGCTCCCCTTGGCAAAATAAAACCCTTTATTTAGTTTACAAATATGAAGAAAGACAGCAGAAGGTCACGTTTTAGTTTTTTTTGTCTCCTTTGTATTAATAGATTAACAAATCTTGAAGGACTCTGCAGTTTTTTGGCGACATGAGGGGGAAACTGACTCAGTTGGTTTTCCAGGATCCGACGGCACAGATCGGGTTCCGAGAATCCAGCACTCAGCAAATTGCTCTCCCTTCAATCCTCCTCTCCTCCTCCCGCTCATCCTCTCACGGCGTCCGGAGAAGCTCACCCCACGTTCAAAACGACAAAACCGTCAGGACGCCGAGAGGCCGACTTCGTCTTAGACCGCGAAGGGCTACGTCTCGCTACCTCAAATCTCGCTAAATTGGTCATTTCAGAGCGACGGGGGGCAAAAATGTGCTTGGGATTTTTCTCTTTTTTTTTTCAGTTCCACTAAGACGTCTTTCTAATTTACTGGGGTTAAATCCTGCTAATACTAGAATAAAACATTCGAACTGAGGTTGGCGTAAAAAGTTCATCCATGCGCCTCTAAATCTGTGACGTAGTTATAGTGTAAATATTTTGGATCGAATCAGGAACATTTGTTATGATGGAATGTAATTGGGAATAGTCAAATCCTGAGAGCAGATCAGACATTTGCAGTCCGTCTGTTCATATCATGTAAAATATACAGTTTTCAGTTCTTCTACATCAAGTTTTGAAAATATCAGTAGTTTATTTACTATAGATATATGTCTATAGAAGTCAGTACGGGAGGAGATTATGGCCACTGGGAGGAAAAAAAAAATCACAGAAAAAAAAAATTCTCAAAAAGGTCACTTTTTTCTCAAAATAATTGAGAATATTAATATCATAATTTAATTCTTTCCTCAAAATTCTGACTTTCATCAGAAGATCACAATCGGGTTTCTGAGTTTTTGTTTTGAGCAAAAAATATCAGATTATTTATTTTTTCTGTTCTGTGACCCTCATCCTCTTCCGTAGGTCAGACTTCAAATCTAAACATGGCAGGAAATAAATTAAAATAATTAAATATGGCAGGGAGGAAAGAAAAAAAATAGCATGGCTGGATGATCTAGTAGATATATTATTTGGATAGGGAAATAAATAATTTTAAAAAAATGGTCTGTGAGCTGATTGGACGTTGGGAAGAGCAACTGGTGCGACAGACGGGTGAACGGATGACGACAAAACGAACGCGCCTTTCCGCCCCGTCTTTCACGCGCCGACGTACGCGCTTGTGAGACAATCTCCTCCAGTCCAGGAGAATGTCCAAATCAAGAGGAGAATATTTCTTCTCCTGCTAATTCCCCGTTGTCACGGCGCACGTCGTGTGGCTCGTCCGCGTAGTTCTTCGCAGGAATGCGGCGGCGGCCTCATAATCAGACACCGGAAGACATAACTCAAAAAGCGGTTAACATCCGCAGCCTCCTGCAGCGCCTCCGCCAGGATCCATTATTGTCACCGAGCGCCGGCAGAGACGGCGAGCGTAGGTGTGTGTGAAGGAGAGAGAGAGCGAGAGAGAGAGGGTGTTGTGTTCCTTTGGAAGTTTCAGTGCTTTTTCTCTGAGAGCTGTCAGTCTTTGATCACACACTGGGACTATTTTTTTTTTCTTCCTCTTTTTTTCTACACAATCTGAACCAGTTTCACAAGCCCCTTATCTCCTGTGCCGTGTGACAAGAAAAACTGCACTTCATTTAAAAAGTCCACAGCTCTCTCCCCCCGTCTCTCCTTCTGCTTTCTGTCTTTGTGATGTACATCCGCTTCTTTCAATCAGCATTTAAAGAAACGGTTAATTGTTTAATTTTCACTTTTTTTTAAAATTTTATATAAATATATATATATATATAGCTACTAATGTTTACGTTAAGTTGTGCCTGACTCTAAGCCATCCGGAATAACGCAAATGAACCCCAGAGGTTTCCGGTTCCCTGTTTTTTCTCTCTTTATTCACTGTTTGGGCGTGAAACCAACAACCTGAGCTGCTTCGTTCTTCCCTGGGCATTTGTTTACTGAACCCGCCCCTGTCCCTCTGCAGGCCCGGCGAGCCTCGACCCTGATGCTTTTCACTCAGCATTTGAGGAGCTGGAAAGGCGCAGCAGTGTTGCCATCTCCAGAAAAAAAAACAAACAAAAAAAACACCAAAGGTACATAAATCAGTGAAAGTCTTTTCCTGAGACTTTATTACTCTGCTGAGAAATCGGAGCATTTTTTTCTTTTCATAAAGATTTCATGAGTTCCTGTTGGTGGAGTTTGAGAGCTTTGACAAACAGTCTTTAGCGCTTTCCTACCTCCATATTGTTGTTGTTATCCTTGGTTAAGACGCGTGAAAGGCCTTTGAAATGCAGCATACAAAATCAGCGCAGCTAATAAGAATCGTCATTAAATAACTGTTTAATGTTAAGCATCTCAGAACATGATGTTTTTCCTCATTTGACAGAAATGAGGAAAAACATCAATTCTTCAAAATAGGAAAGGCAGGAATACATTCCATTTGAGTAAAAAAACATTTTTTTTATATTTATAAATCCAGAAAACTAATCACACTAATAATATATATATATATATATATATATATATATATATATATATATATATATATATATATATATATATATACTTAGACATTAAGTCAGATCAATTATTAAAAGATTGAAGTTGTTGATTTTCCACATCAAGCCAACAATTAGTTTTGTCCTACCATCACAAATGTAAACTGTGGTTTAGTGAATGTGGAGCACAAAACATGTAATGAATTTGGTGAAGCATCTGTTTCTCTTCCAGAGTCCCTGGAAATCCTGTCAGAGAGACATATCAGAGCTTTCTTCAGAAGAGTTTATTTTCCTTTTCTGCTTGAGAATTGAAACCAGATCATCGTTGTTTATTTAATTCTTCAAGAAAAAAAAAAAAAAAATGGAAAAAAAAAAAAGTTTCCTGACACCGAAAAAGAACAATAGGTTCCCCCGACTCAAAAAGGTCTTTTTACTCTTTTACCTGAGGCAGCAATAAATGTGGCAAAATGACCGACGGCGTTAGCAGGGATTTGCAAACCGTTCGTTTTTCTCCAAACTCCAGCTTCTATTCGTCTTAAGTCGCCTTAATGCACAGATGTGTGTTGACACGGGAAGCGTTGAGGGGAATCGGTCGTCCTCGGTGCGTGTCTGCGCGAGCCGCGGGTGAATTAGAGCTTCTCCTTCTCTGTTTTCTTTCATGTGCAGCCGCTTCCTTTTGACACAAATCAGACGCCTCCACGCACGCACGATAATTTAATAAACAAACTCAAGCAAAATCACTTGCTGCTAATCTCAAATTCGCCTGCCACCGGCTCCTTTGCGCGTGGCCCGCGTCTCCATGGCGATCAGTGACCTCTGACCCGGGCCGACTCTTTCTTTCTATCAGCCCACACATAGAAGATGCACACCGTCTCGGGGAGCATCGTCAGGCTGGTTTTCTTTCTTCCCTTCCTTCCTTGTGTTTTTTTTTTTGTTGTTGTCGTTTCTCCCGGTCGTCTAAACTTGTGAAAACCAAAATGAAGAAACAAGCCTCCACTCTCCTGCGTCTTTTGCTCCACAGTGCCGAGAAAGAAAGCTAATATTTGCCAGATCGTGTGAATGACAGTACTGTCTATGGAATTGAATTTCAAAATATGTACAGAAACAAATATCTGTAAATAGAAAGTGTAAATAAATCCTATATATGAAATACCAAAAAATAAATAAATATTTGTCTTTATTCTGTGTTGAAATGCATGATGTGTCTGAACACTCTGCGTCCTGCTGCAGCAAACAGACACAGCGACATGCAAATGCGCTCTTCTCCTCCCTGTTAGGAAGTCTTGCATTGCAACCACAAACTTTAATGTGTTATATTGGGATTATTTTATTCAGGCTCATTTGTACGCAGTCTGGAAAAGTACGCGCAAACGAGTTTCTAGACTTTCTTCTTGTTGCATCATTGAAAACACATAATGGCTTTTTCATATTGATTCTTCTTAAGACTGTTTTTATTTCTTAGTTTTGCAGCCCAAGTTTTTCTAACCTTTAGTTTGCGACTGTTTTCGAAGTTAAGAAAGTTCTGCCTTCTGTGGCCTCTAAGCCATTTTATATCAAGATTTTAAACATAATTTCATAATCCTTCTTTGTATTTCTCACCTTTTCACGGTAAGCATCCGTTCTCCACTTATTTTGAATCTTAAATGACATAAAACACGTCAAACTCGACTCTCTGGGGCCAAATCCAGTCCGGCATAACTTTTTTTTACGTGGCCCTCTTGCTTAAATATTATTTTATCAATCAAATCAAAGTGGTTTTTGATTTGATTGAAAATCGACGTGAAAAGATCTTGGATCATATTTCACATGAGGAAATGGTGGAAAATATTCTCTCGCCACACTGAAAAGTAAGAGGTCAGCGGTTATTTTTTTTTTCTTTTTAGTAAAATATAAAGAACACTGGATTTTATTGTGCTGCACTTTCATACAGTTGAGTGAAATGCAAACGCCCGGCGTTATGCGCTAATTCGTCTGTTGCATAAAATCCCAAATATGACAAAGTTTTTCCTCATGTGGTGGTAAAACATTTCCTGTAGGTTCTGTGATGACGATGGGTTAGGATTGGGGTTTAGGTTGGGGTCAGGGTTAGGGTTAGGGTAGGGTTAGGGTTAACCCCACAACCTCTTGCAGACATGAGCAGGTGAGGCAGTTGCCATGGCGTCTTAACAGGTAAACAAGTTGCTTATTTATTGTGGAAGATGTGCAGCAGAGGGTGTCGGGGTGTTTTTGTTGTTTCTTTTCCAAAGGCAGTAACTGCATACCTATCTGTGAGAAAGTGTGTGTGTGTGTGTGTGTGTGTGTGTGTGTGTGTGTGTGTGTGTGTGTGTGTGTGTGTGTGTGTGTGTGTGGCAGGTTGCAGCCACGGCTCTCCTCCTCCCAGCCCTCGTTAAGCTGACTGATGTTCACACGGGCAACCAATTATGGGGCGGCGGTCACCGAGGACTCCAGTCACTTCATGGGAAATTAAAAACACATTAAAACCAACAATGGTCGCAGGAAGGTATCTGCTTGTCCGTGTGGGTTCCCGAAACACACACAGACACACACGAGCACAGACGGATTCGGCGACGGCCGAAGAGGCTTTTAGGTTTTTTTAAAAAAATTTTATTTGTTTGTTTTTCCCCTATACATATTTGAGATGTTTGTTTTCGTTAGAACACTGTTGAGACAGTTTGCGTTCTGCATTTAAGTCCCTGATTTAGACGTTTGCAAGCCATCACGTTCCGGCTGGAATCAACATCTCCCAGTGAGTCGTGAAATATTTGACTTATTACAAGTAATAAGAGTTGATAAAGAAAAGCTAAATGAGAGCTGTCGCTGCGGCTTTGCAGGATGCATGAGTCCAAAACGTAACTTTTTACCGCACGTCGGCGCGCGAAACTAAAACTTCACATCAGTCACGGAGCAACACACTGGTCTCTAAATTTGCACACAGATTTTAAAACGGGACGTCATCATTTTCGGTTTTTTTATTTTTGTTTTTTCTATTTAATTAATTTTTTTATTTTTATTCTTTTTAAGTCCTAGCAAAATCCATCGACATCTGTGATGGCAAAAGAATGAAAACATTTCAAAAGCCACACTTTTTTTTAGTTGTTGTGAACTATACATTGCTATATACAAGCTCAAGGATGAAAATACATTTAGATTAACTTGGTGAGCTTCATAATTTTATAATTTTCAGGTGTTTCCAGAGTCAAATGAATGCAAAATAACGCTTTGCTCAGATGTAGCGTAACAATTTGTTGCCGTTGACTCTGTTAAAAAAAGTTTTCTCTTCATATAAAATCTATATATATTTCTTTTTGATAAGAGCTGGTGCAGGAATGAGCCCCAGAAAAACCAAGAGGTTATTTTCTTTAATACTATAAAATGTGAAATTGTATTTATTGATGGATTTCTCTCTGTTTTTCTTGTCTGATTTTTTTTTTTTTTTTTTTTTTTGGTGGTCATTCAAAATTAGAGCAATGGTCTTATAATAATGGTTAAATAATAATGCTACTCATACTAATTAACAGTTAAAAAGATCAGTCTATGTTATTATATGGCTATAATTTTCCTGAGGTTGCAATTTCTCAAAAATTATTATTAGCTGATAATGGTTGAGTCACTCCGCTGAAAAAAAGCAGTCTGATTGGCTGAAAAATTATTAGAAATCACCTATGTAAAATCTAGTTACATAGAATGTATTTAAAAATATAATCAACCTCTAATCTTTTTTTACATTATGGCTTAAGGCTTTTTCAGTTTGAACGTTCTGAGTGTCTGTACATCTTTCACTAAGATTTTGTGACGGTCATTTGCCTAAGCTGAGGTCAGATTTCCTGGTCTGACCTCTGGACCAGGAAATCCTGGTATGGTGTCAGCTCGTCACTGACACCATTCCCTTTGGCTCCGCCTCAAACATTTGAAATCTTTTGTCTTCCCTCTGTCAGGTTTCTCCTGAACGCCCAGCAGTGAACCGGTGGGCTGGCCGATGTCATGTCGGAAGCCACCTGTTTGTTCCCAAAGCCTCGAATGCTGAAAAAAATTGAACCAAAGTCCCAAAGATCACGACAAAATACTCCTATTTACTGATGACGCGCTTATTTACTGATGTAACCTCCTAAAAACAGGCTGAAAAGCTGCTGCAACATCTTTTTATGTTGCAAACTAAAAGGCTGCTTATGCAATAATTTGATATAATAAGGTTTCAGCATTCAGAGAGATGATCAACAATGGCTACATTGGCATACGGTTTAATGAAAAGGTTCTCAAACTGAGCTCTCTTCCCCATTTGCTTTTTGAATTACTCCCACTTTGAGTCGTTAATTTCACACTCCTGTCTGAATCTACACGTATGCTGACAGGCATAACCTTTTCTCTTTTTTCCTTTTAAATCTTGATTCCTCATGCAGCTAAGAAGGTTAATCAAACACCTGCACGCTCCCTGTGATGGAACGCTGCAGGCGCGGCGAATGGCGCCTGAAACGATTGTCACGGTCAAAGCGAAGGCTCTGTGGTTTCTGCAGAGCCGCCGCTGAGCGCTGCCTGTCGGGTTCACGTTTGATTCCAACGTCGCTCAAAACAGCCGGTTAACATTCGCTGCAAATGTGGAAACCGGAACTGACGCGGAATTATTGGGTCATAATAAAAAAAAACAAATAAGTGTTATTGTTATTTCCCTGATCACATTTTATGTCTTTTTAAAGATTGCACTTTGACTGAACTCTTCCTCACAAAGCTCTCCTCTGTCTTTTGAAATGTCTAAGGATATTTTTAAACCTTTGTCATTCCGCCGGAATCAAAAACGCGGCAGACTTTCAACGCGCCGACTTTGACACGCCGCCTATTTAACCTCTGACCGGGGCAGGAGCCTCTCGCCTTCGGTAAAGGGAATATTTATACCCCGCTTCACACAATGGGAGCGCGACAAAAAAACAAAATAAATCAAAACAAAACAAAAAAAAAACTTCTGAGACTTTCTTCTTCTCTGACTGCTTACTCATC